GATTTATGGTTGAATTTAATCTGAATGGCTATGTCTGATTGGAGTCGATCGGCGTCTATCGACATCTGAATTATTGCTGAATTGAGGCCAGTTTTAGGCTGATTTATGGTTGAATTTAAGTTCTGAATGGCCATGTTTGATTGGAATCGATTGGCATCTATCAGCACCTGTTTGTGCCGATCAGAAAATATGGCAAATCAGCCATAAATAGTATCAAAATTGGCCTAAAATCAGTCATCTAATTTTTAGCCGATTTGGACTATTTCGACTAGTGAGGTGTAACTGAATATGCGAAAAATTAAGGTTAACAAGATATCTTTCAAGTGTTTAGATCATTAGAAAAAAATGAAGAACAGGCAAGATAATTACTTACTTAGATCTAGGATTCAATTACTATTAGACAGTTAAGAGATCCAGAAGTACCAAAAGTCAAATGATTCAATACATTCCTGAAAAAAGATAGATTCTTTCCCAAAACTGGCAAACTACTACTTCTTAGATATTTACGCAAATTAGGAGTAATATTTGCAGTTATAACATACAGAGTGAAGAATTTATTAGAGGCTATGACTATTGTCAGTGAAGTATTTCGTCTAATCCTGACAACTATGCCTTTTCTGCAAAAAACTATACTATAGTAAATTATCGGTTAAAGGAAGAACTATATCATCAAGTAAAGGTAATCAAGCTCTTTAATAAAAACTAATCATATAGAATATTAGGAGGTCTTTATTAAGATTGTGAAATATTGTTTATTAATTTTATTTTTTCATTGTTTATTAAATTTTATTTTTTCGCCTCTCTTGATCTGTCAATCTGTGGAAGATAGTTTATCCTTTTAACTAGAGCAACTTATTCTAATATCTTATCTGATAGAATTTCTTTTTTCAAATAAATATGAGAAAAAAATAGATATATCATATATAAAATATCACAAAAATAGTAACTGATCAAAATTATTCATCTGATGCATCTAGAGAGCAGGAAGTTATTAAATATACAAAGATATTAGTCTATGTATTTAGACTAGACAAGCAAAATGCAGAGATATATAGTGCACTTTCTAGTAAAAATAGAGCACTAAAGAAACAATTGAAAGACTATTATTTCCAACATAACATTTTAGAAAAGAGAGTAAAAAGATTAGAGAGATGTAAAGTCTTTAGCTACTGAATTAGAAGTTCTAAATGAATGTGTAGATAAGGAAAACTGTAATCAATATAATACATGAATTAGTTCCCTTAATAATTGATAAAAAAGGTCAAAAGAATAAAGGATTTCTCCTATTCATCTGAGTCTTCCGAAGATTTTAATTCAGTCAAGACAATTGTAATAAGAGAAAATGAGACTATTCTCATAAGTAATAAAGGAAGGTACAATCAAAAAAAGTTTAACAGTTAGTGGTTTAAAATGGGTCGAGCCAAAGGGTTTGAAGAATCAGGCGTTGAATAGAAGTTTAATTTTATATTTGAATATTATATATGTCATAAGAAAATGGTATTTGTGAATTGTGTAGTCGAAGAAAATATCCCTATTGAGATATTAATTGATATATTATTAGTAATAATCTGTTTGCATTACTAGATGGCTACGCTAACTAATATCACTAATGATCATCAGGAAAATCGTGATCATCATTTTTACTAATTTCACTGCTATTATAGTTATCGTTGTAATATTTATTTTCTTTATTATTACGTTTATTATTATTTTATTTATTATCTTTATTATCATAGTTATATTTACTTTCATTATTATATTTATTATCTCTATTTTATGATTGTATTTTATATAAATATCCTGTATTGTCGCCTTGACAAACTAACAAGTTTCAATCGTATAATTAATAAAGTATAATCTTAACAACATAAAAACTATATCTTTGCCAATATCTATTTCCTTAAACATAAATCATCAATAAAGACGACCTGACCCTTCAATTTAAATAAATTCGTGTTTATTTCTTTCATAGTTTACAACTTAAATTCCCTGTTAGCAAATAAGCTTTGTTATCCTAATAACGTAGTGTTTAGGCTTAACAAGTGGTGATTCCTTCTAGGAGAATCTTTATTGAAGATATACACAACGAACTGCTGAAGGACTAGTGAGGTGTATGAATTTTGAGGAACTTGAGAGAACTATATCGGAGCATATAGTTAGGCATTACTTAGATGAATCTCTTAACCAAGATTATACTTGTCCTTGGTGTTATCCACCCCTCCAATCAAAACTCTTTCCAATAGCTTTAATAATTTCTGGGACTGGTTTAGACGAGAATATCAAGCAGATACCTTTACTTCAAGAACTACTATTACCTTCAATTTATTTGAACAACTTAGTAGTATCCCTGAATCTGAACATCGTAACTCTTGCCTAATAAGAGTTATTTATCAACTTCTTTTTAGTATTCAATATCGTGTTCGACTTTTTTCAGCAGACGTTATATATTTGTATATACAAGGTATATCCTTTCGAACAAATTATTTTCAACAATCTATTACCTTATCTATTTCTTCAAGAGTATATACTGAAATATTAGAACAAGATCTAGTAAGGTGTATAGCAGATCGACAATTACTACAATGACTTGTTGCTTCTTCAATACCTTCTGCATCTAGTTTATCAAACTCATTCTCTAATTCACCCCAGTCAAAACTGAAACCATGGTCACAGGAAACGAAATGAGAGCCATTTTTCAAGAAATTTTTTGGAATAATGGACAACACTTGACAGATATTAGCGAACGACTCTGACTAGCTCAAAGAGGAGAAAGATCCACTATTAAAGTTGACTATTTTTCAGGAGCTGAAAATGAAAATTCTGTAGAATGGCTTATTACATTCGAAAGAGCTGTCATTATCAACAGATGGATCACTGAAGCACAAAAGAAAGCCTTCGTGGAAGGATATCTTAAGGGTGCAGCAGCTGACTGGTTTGATAGTGTTACTACTGCTTTGAGAGATAATTGGAATACTGGAACTAATGGTGGCCAAAACTTTGTAGATTTATTTGAAGCTTGATTCATTAGCGAAATTAAGAAGAATCAATGGTATCAGAAATTAACTTCTCTACGATAACAAACAGATAAATCTGTAGATTCTTATGCTAATAAATTCAAGAAATTGGTGACTCATGTAGGATTAACAGATGAAGCACAAAAGAAGAGGTTCCTTATAGGACTAAATCCTGCTTATACTCCGTTAGTCTACTCATAAAATCCAGCTGATTTAGATGCTACTGTAACCTCTGCACGAACAATCGAAATTGGATACAATTTTGCCTTTGGAAAAACCCCCAAGGATATTAGTATTACTACAGTCCATACTCCTAAAAATGTGGTTACTAATACTGAAGTGGATGAACTTACAAAAAAATTGAAACAACTATCTATCAATTATGCTAATTTGATAACTCATCAGGAAGTTAAATGCACGTGAAATTGCATATCATTAAGTATCATATGCTAATCAACATCAAATCACGTTGTGCTGCAAAGGCAATGCAAAACAATGCATCAAAATACCAACGTCGATCAATATGTAAAATAATGTATTATGTAAATCAATCAATAAAACAATATGTAAATTTATATGTATTATAGCATTTTTGTATTATAATTATTATTTATTTATATAACGCAAATACAATTTAAGAAATTATTCAATTATCTTCATTATTGTCGCTAAAATTATCACTTTCATCATTATTATTATTGCTATCTATATCTTCATAATATTCATTTGAATTATTACTCTCTTGATTAGATAAATCTTCCGATTGTTTTTTATCGTTACATTCAAACTAAAATAAAAAATATTAATAAATATATTAAGTAAAAAATAACATTAATTTTACAAAACCTACCAAGCTTCGTATAAATGAATCTGAATTCCATTGTTTTATACGCTTTTGTACCTTTGATGCCGAAATTTCAGCTTGATTATACGATGGATCTAAGAACATTAAAATTACAGTTACACCAAATATAATGTTATCCTTATATTGTAATTCTTCTTTGGTGAATGTTTTTTGCAAGATGGCTTTGATTATATAAGGAGAATTTGGATCATTGTTATCAACTTTATTTCTGAGATTATTTCTTGCTTGTTTGACTTTTTCAGATTCTTTCCAGGATCTAACTTCTTCGGAACTAGCAAATTGACTAAGTTTATCAGAAAATAAATTTAAAAAGATACAAGTAGTATCTTTTAGTTTGCAAACACATGAACTTCTGAGATTTTGAAAATATTCTAACGCCTATATATAAAAACAATATTGTTATTTCATGTGGTTAGTAAAAATCAATAATGTCACGATTGTTATGTATTGCTTTAATCATGTAATTAATAAAAACATATGATGGAATATCCAGCATTCCAGAAATTATCCCATCCGTCCAAATTAGCAAGCTCTTGCATTTTCTAAGAATAGTTATTTTGAACTTGCTGTTTAAAAGCTTGCTTAATATCCATATCTGATGGGTTTTTGTTTTCTTGAAACAATTGGTAACATGCTTTTGTCATAGGTGCCTAAACAAATATAATAGAAACAAATATAATAGAATTATTATAAAAAACACACAAAAACTATTATAACGCTTAAATACTTACATCCCACCATATATGTTTTGTATCTTTTCTCTTTAATCGTTGTTTTGGCTGTTTTTCGTTCATCATAGTCAATGATCCTGATGCAAATGTTGTGAAAACATTTTTGATATTTTCTAAAAGCTTGTGATTTTTAGAAATTTCATCTTGCAAAGTATCAATCATTATACTTTGCTTTAACTGTTCTTCAAGTATTTTATCGAGAATAGATTTAGCATTTGCATCAAGTTTAAAACCTAAATAGAAGGAAGACATAATGTTAAATAAAATTACTTCGTTTTAATAAATATAATATTTTATTAAAAATATCTTACATTTCTTTGGTGAATCACTAAAATCATTTATCCTCTTACGCTTATTATTAGTCTCTTCTAAATCTTTTATTGTAATATATTATTAATACAGATCAGGAAATTATAACTAAATGAATTTATAATACTTATCTATAGATTGTAATATCCATTGTGTTGATGCGGAAGCCGTCTTGGGTGTTGATGCGGAAGCTGACTTGAATGTTGATGTAAAAGCCGCCCTAGATGTTGATGCGAAAGCTGCCTTGAATGTGGATGTAGATGTAGATGTAGAAGCCGTCCTGGATGTTGATGTGGATGTGGATGTTGATGTTAATATGGAAGCCGCTTTGGATATTGATAGAACTTCAGAGAATATATTCTTTGTCGTTGACACTCTTTTTTGTTTTACAATTTGCTGCTAAAATTGTTAGCATCAAATAATGCATCGAAATAAAAAAAAAAAAATCTCACACCTTTTTTTTTGAAATGATAGTATTGTTATCTTCAGGAATTTGTATATAAGGAATGGGTAAATTTAAAGGAATATCGATAGTTGATGAACCTTTATTATGATTAAAGTCTTCTTGTGTGTTTTTATTCTATAATAATTAAAATGTGATAATTATATTATCATTCATCACGTTCCCCACTTTATCACATAGTTCTACCACACATCTTACACTAATTGTTTTACCTTAAATGAATTTTGAGGAGTAGTAGCTTCTTTTATCATAGAACCAAATACTTCTTTAATAGATAAAGGTTTTGTGGATTTACTGGTAGAAATAGAAGTATTGTGTTATTTTGGTTATTCCTTTCTCGTTTTGATCATCTTGCTAATGACATTGTAAAAGTATTGTAATAGAAAGGTGTGAAAAAATATACTTTATATTTTTTATACATTTATATTTATAGTTTAAAAAGTTTATTTAAGTTACTTAACAGTAAAAAGTTTATTTAAGCTAAATAAATATATAATATACTGTATATATCGTACCTTAAAATTACATTGTGTTCAATTGTTTCAATTTGACTTAGAAATGTTTACTTGTTCATATAACTATTGTGAGAGAACTTTTTCAGGCTGTGCAGCTCTCTGTGAACATACAAAATCACATAAAAGCCATGCCTATTGGAAAACATTAAATAGTATTTCAAACATTTCTTATAAAATATTGAAGTTGAAAAACGGTAATTTTTTTTAAAAAATAATAAAATTCACTATTCCTTTTTTATATGTTGATTGTATTGTATAACTAATTGATGTCCTTCTATCACTATAGGAAGAAGATAATTTTGATATAAATGATGATGTATATGAAGAAAGTGTTGATATATATGAAGATGATGATATACGTGAAGAAAAAGATAATAATATATATAAAGAAAATAATATACGTGAAAATGATGATAATTATATATATGAAAAAGATAATATATGCAAAAAGGATGATGATATATACGAAGATGATAATATGCATGAAGGCGATAATAATGTATATGAAGAAGATAATATATGCGAAGGTGATGATGATGTATGCGAAGAAGACAGTATACATGAAAGTGATAATGATATATATATGAAAATGAAGACGAAAATAAAGATGTTATGTATGATGGAAGCAATATAGATAATAATGATACAGATGATGTTGAAGATATTGAAACATCTGAAGCTAGAAATCATAATTATAATTTATGTTTTCCGGAACAAATGGAACAAATAACTTTAATTGATACTAGAACCAATTTATCTCAAAGTCTTCCATCCTTTCCAGATACTGCATATATTGAGTTTATGGAGCTTGTATCAATACATCATCTTTCAGATTCGGCTGGAAATGATGTGTTAAAGTGGTTTAACAAGCATTATCTTCGAAAAGATATTGTTTTACCAAAAAATACAATGGAAGGGCGTGATTTTATCAACTCTATGAATATTGAACATTTGATATATCTTAAAACAAAAGTCTTAGAATATGAAGATGAAAAATATTATCTTCACCATCGTCCTGTCTTTGATGCCATTAAAGAACTATTATCTAATAATGATATTTTAAAACATTGTCATTAGGATTTTTTAGCAGATTATACTATTAATAATAATAGGTAACATGAGCATGTTTATGAAGAACAATGAACTGGAATATGGTGGAAGCATGCTCAAGAATTAATTGGTGGATCAGGGTTAAAAAAAAATATTATCAATAATCATATACTCTGATGCTACTACATTGGACCAACTTGGCAAAAGTTCTGAACATCCAATCTATTTATCATTGGGTAATATCCCTATTTGGTGTAGAAACAAATGTGATGCTAAAGTCTTGCTAGGGTTTTTACCTAAATTAAAACTATTACATAATCGTAAAAATAATAAAAAAAGCTATACATTTATTAAAAATATTCTATATTAACACTGTTTTGATATTATAATACAACCAATATATGAATGTCTAAAAAATAATGGCTTGAATATTAAAACAAATACTCAAGTAATTTGAGCTTTTCCTTTTTTTCTGCATTTATTAGTGATCTACCTAAAGATGCAGCATTAACATCAACATATAGTTCAAGTCAATGCAAACGTCCTTGTCATATATGTACCATGACAATTGATAATATAAACAATCTCAATTTGTCTTGATCTCAAATTGAATTAGGAACACAAGATAATATGCAAATTGTTTTGGATCACAATCTTTGTCATGAATATTCCATTCATTCAATACAAAATATTTTTTGGAAATTTCAGTAAGTAGTCGTATTTTTATATGTAATTTAATTACTATGAACTAATAATTCATTTAAACTTTTATAGTAGACTTAATATTTATAATGCTGCTATACCTGATCATAAGCATCATTGCGATATAGGTTTATTTAATTATTAAGTTAATTTTGCTAGAAATTATATTAAATTATATTGTGAACAAAGTGGCATTGATGAATTTGACAAATGTTTAGCATTAATTCCACATTTTCCCGATCTTAAACTGTTTAAAAATGGTCTTGGAAATATTGCAAGATTTACTGCTGCAGAGTTTCGGAGTATGATGAAGCAACTTGTTTTTGTTATCGATGACTTAATTGTTTCGAAACATAAATCAACATTAGAATCTAATTTAGCAAAACAATATAATAGCAAACTTGTTTATTTATTTATACTGTAGAATAAAATATATATTTTTAGTCGTAAAGAATCTTTTACAGATTCTGAACTTAATGAATTTCAGGTAAATTTATGACTTACAATTATTTATTTATAATGTTTATACTAACTAGCAAATTCTAACATTTTTATAAAATGATCACAGATTGGACAAAAGAATTTATTGCCTTATTCATATCAATTATAAACACTGAAATGAAATACCCGAAGTTGCATAATTGGCATTACCATATTATTGATACTATACAAAAATATAGCGCAATAAATGGCTTTAATACTGAAACTTATGAATCACTACACAAATCATGTGTCAAAACTCTATACAGGATGAGCAATCGTCGAAATGCAATTTCACAAATAATCAATATGGTATTATACATTATTTTTATAAATTTTTTATTATTAATAGTTGTTTAAATAATTATTTGGTATGACGTGACAGTATTCTTAAATATCATCATCGAATAACTTTTTCACCTATAGTTAAAAAATGACATCAAACTTTAACACTAGGTGGTATTAAAGGCAATTTTACGTTGTCTAACCTTAACAGCTTCATTGATACATATAAAATTTCACATCATTTAGCTTTAGAAGCTGAATTAGCATTTGATATGCTAATTGATTCATTAAACGAGTATTTGATTGTATTGAAGACATTACAGATGAAGATGTTAAAGAAACTCTTATTAAATGGTATACCAACGCATTTATTGGAGGAACTGATACTATACGGACTAAAAGTAATTATTATTGTATACTCGCTTTTAGTAATGTAGCAATTAATATGGATGAAGAAGAAGCTGAAAATTACAATACGTTTAATGGAACATGTTTTGCTAAGGTAAATTAAAGTTTATTAATTTTTAAATTTTTTATTATTTATACAAGTAACTAATTTCATATTTTATATAACAAAAGCTTCTAATACTATTTAGTTTAAAAATTCCTGATCATGAAGTATAAGAATTAGCATTAGTTCATTGGTACGACTTTAAATACAGTAATCCACAATGACTATTTAAATATGATTGTCCTCTTATGAAAGCTATTCCAATGTTTACAATTATAGCAGTTGATTCTATTGTTGAACCAGTTCATATTATTCCACGTTTTGAAAAAACTAACGAATATTTTATAAATATGTTTATTTTTTAAAAAAAAAATACAATTTATATATTACAGTTATATATTATTTACAATTAAAATATGTATAACTATAATTTTTTCAATTAACATTAAACAAGACGTTAAACAATGTCAAATTAATCAATATGAGCTAAAATAATACATCAAACGACGTTAAGTTGATTAGCACATTATTTGATATTATTATAATGTTGATCATTACCATATTCATCATGTTAAATTTACAGCTTTTACCAGTATGTTGGACTACATTTTTTTAAGTTTCTGATGTATATAAATATCTTTGAAATTTTTGTTATAATCATATTAGGTTTTACATAATATAAATATAAATCAGCTATTTATTCTCATGAGTTCATAAATTATCTTGTCTCATTAAAACTTATAAAAATATGAAACTATATTAAAACCTTAGTAAAAAATTAATAGAACTATAGTTTAGATGTTTTACCAAATTTAAAATAAGTTTAGACAAACAATTTTAAACATATATTAAAAATCAGATCAGTTCAAATCTATCAAAATAAAATAAAATTCAGAAGAAAATATATTGATTACAGAATTAATAGCTAAATTAATTTTTTAAAAGATTTAGTTCAATTCAGATTATATGTTTAGAATAATAACTTTGTTTTATTAATAAATATTTCATCAATAGAATTATTTATTTAATAAACATTTTATTAACAATCATTTTATTGATATAATTATTTTACTAATATCATTTTATCAATATAATTATTTTGTTAATAATTTTTTTATAAAATTTTATATTATAATTAATTATTAATAAAAAATAAAATAAATAATAAAATTTTAATATTTTAAAAAAGATTTTTTGGATTATAA